AATGTAACGATCTATGCTACATGTCAAAACACATTAAAGCTTCATTATAAATTAGTAAATTTGCTTTTGCTTTATATTTCGTTGCGGAGGCACCACAGAGTACCAGTGACAACAGAGGGAAACTGACACGATGGGAATAGAACAGGAAATTGAATTTACAGTTACTGATATACGTTTTATACAGTTGTCGAAGATGCCACAAGATGGCACCACAGACGCGTCATCGTAAAACAGTCCGTTGGCATCGAGGTACGATAAAGAGCTAAATCTCGATTTGGAGAACAGCGCTGTATGTCGGGAAGGAGCTCGGTTTAGCTTGGATTATGAGCAGAAGCGGTCATCAGAGTTTTCACCACGTGTATATGTGGACATGCACGTATTTTTTTTTTTTTTAATCAAATCATCACACATTTATTTGAAAGGATAACATTGTGAGAAGAATTTGAAATGCTAAAGGTTTGTCACATTTTTGCAATTTAAATTACGAACATCAGCAATTATAAAAATTTTATGAGCGGCATCAATTACTCGCAGCGGTGCTCAGTCCCCATTACTCATGACTAGATTAAAAGCAATGCCTTTAAAACACCACTAGGTGACAGTATTGTTTCAAGTTCACTATATACGAGCGGACAAGTACTACTTTATTTTAGTTTTAAAATACAGTGAAGTTGCATCATTTGGGAGCTAAATCACTTCAGTCTTGCCGTTAAACTCACGCACACACAGACACACATACACAGACAAGCATAAGCTCCACAATTTCCTGTAGCGGATATAACGGGACGTTAAATTATCAGTACGGAAAATAACTTCAATTCAAGCTTTAATTTCCTTACAAAACACACACGCACTCAGATGGAATGCAAATGCAGGGACACAACGCAGATAATTAAGTACACAAGCCGAGGAGGGCTCAGTTGGAGACACACACACACACACACACACACACACACACACACACACACACACACACACGGATTTATGCAAGACAAAGGAAGGGAAATGGAACGCAAAGTAATGAGAAGTTTATGTAAAATACAACTCTGTGTGTATGTGTGTGTGTTTTTAAACACAATTAGCTCTGTCAGGCAGAAATGTAAACGAAAAGAACTTTAATAATGAAAGTTCTCTCTGATATGCCGAGAGCACACATAGCCATTTATCTGACTACACGTCCCGTCCCAGCACTTCGGAGCCGCGCTGGGTAAGAGTGAAACCCTGGGGGACGTCCAGAGTTTGCCATTCTAGCAGAAATTAACTGTGCTGAACGGGGTGAATCCACAATTTTCATCTCTAACTTAACTACTCCTGAATCTTCAATGGGCTGGTGCCATACTGAAGTCTCGTCTCCGCTCAAAAAAGATCCTCTTCTCCGTTGCTATTTGATAGCATGTCCAGCCCATAAACGATGACGCAAGATTGCTGGTTTGCCAGCTCTGTTGCGACCGATATGACGTATATCATATTGTATATTTGTACAGCCGAGCACGTACTGCGCTCTGGAAAAGTGACCAGCTTTATTTTTAGTGCAATGATCACGTGAACAAGACTCCAAAGCTTGTCTCATTAAATCAGCCAAAGAAGCAGAAAGCCACACCGGGAATAGAAACGTTGGCATCATCGGTGTCACAAATTGCGACGCAACAGGAGGCGCAACGTCTCAGCAATCGAATGCTTCGCGAGCATCCGACCCTTTTACAAGAAACCTTTTCTACTTTGCTGGACTTGCCTTTGCCGATTATTGATTTGGCTGTGTCAGGTGAGTTGAGGGAATGGAAGAAAGAGGCGGGTCGATGCGCTGGCTGGGGGAATAAACGTATGAGACGCACACAGGGAGGATGAGCGGGAATAAAAAAATGGCCACTGTCGCATGTTTGGATGAAATACGACTTCAGCTCCTCCTCCCTCCTTTGCAGTTTCGCCTGCTCCAAGGCTCCCCCTCCCGCAAAAATAAAACAATTTGACAGTAGCGCATGATAAAAAAAAAAAACACTTGACTAAGTCAGAGTTGCGATTAGTTTCTCAGTTGGGTGTTGCCATAGTGATTTATATTATTTTGAGGGAGGTTTGAGCATAGACAAAAAAAAAAAAAGAACCTCAAATGATGCAATATTCATGCCAGTCCTTTGCCCTGCCCGACGACGATGAGTCAAAATGATGAGTCAACGGCAGCTCTGCAGGCATGCGTATGTGGCGTAAAGTGTACTTTTGTGTGTGTGTGTGTGTGTCTGTGTATGTATATGCCATGGAAACACAGGGTAAATACTGCATTGAAGATAAAGCAATAAAGTATGGTCGCTTACGGCAAGATTTACAGTAATTGGTCATGTTCGCACAGTGTTTGTGCTTGCCAACGTATCGCGCAGAAAAACAAAATACAGTCGAACCCTGTGTCAACGTACGCTGTTGACATTTTCACCATTATAACGTTCACATTTCAAAGTCCCGATTACACGACATTCATTTCCATTTGCCGATTTCGCTTACAACAAACACCATTATAAAGTCAAATTCACGATGACGCCTTCATTTTTCCCACAAAAATAGCGAAAAGGCCTTCGTGACAACGAACCGTGGGAAACTAATTGCCGCCGGCACCTCACTTATGAAAAAAATGCACAGTGTGGAATTCCCCTCCGTTGCTTAGCAACGCTACAGATCGACTCATACATTGTTGTACTTCTGGAGGTCCGAAAACGTGTGTGGTAATAAAATGAAAGCCAATGTCGCTGCCTGGGAAGGCTGAAATTGTCTCTCACTTTTGAAATGGAGTCTCCTACGAATTGGCAAAGTCGACGATTTCGACAATCATCCGTAATGGCCACAAAATCGTAGCAGAGTTCGAGGCCAACAGATTGAAAGATGATTGTCAATGGCTTTGGGGCGCGGCACATCCTAAAGTGATTGACAGTTGGCTTTGTCGTCTGCGGCACTGGCAGTTGCGTATGGCGCGTAACATTTGCTGACGGAATGTTTTCAGAGATGAAGTAGGAACACTGGAGTTGTTTGTTTCATGTCTTCTAAAATCCTTTTTTTTTCCCCCCCTTCATCCTGTAAACACGTATTTGTAATTGACATGTTTAGACTGTATTACAAGTCCATGTTTTTACATCTATAAATGATCATACTGTGTTATACACCGTGGATGGCGGCCATTTTACTGGAAATAGTTACAAGGAACCACCGTGATAACGTACAGATTTGAGATGTCCCTCCAGGTGGGTTCTCACGAGGTTCGACTGTAATACGCGTTTTATGAAAAAGGTTGTTTGACACCGAAGGAACGGTCGTGAAATGTGTTTAGTATTTTGGTTTGCAATGGGGTAAAAAGGCTGTGCCTCATACTGAGTGCTTTCTATTATTTGATCTCCATATTAAATGTCACAGTTGATTTGGATTTAAGAATACATTTAAAAATGGGTAGATTTGCCGCCTGAGTGACCTAATTCATTCCAGGCTCAAACTGTCACCACTCTAAAAATCTTGTTTAAATTCACATTTTTAACACGTGTAATACAATCGCAATAGAATGTCAAAGCACTGGGCACGACACTAAACTGCGGGATGAAGTATGTGGCACCAGAAACTGAGGCTTCTTATGGGCCAGGGAAAGCAAGGTGGTCAAACTTCTAAAAAGATGCAAAGAACGATCCGTATGGACAATCGCCGAAACTCTGCACTTGCGACCGTGACTGGTCATTTGTCTGGAGGTGCAGCGTGATTGGCGGCAGACCAAAGTCAGCTGGGAGAGGCTCCAGTTAACCGGCGACATGAATGAAGACATAGTTTCATGTTTGCCTACTGTCACTAAGTATGCAAATGATTTGTAAGTACAACCAGACACTTCCCCATGCAATTAGCTCCGTTTCCTGTTCTTTGGCTCCCATCAAACAAAAGCTCACGGGGCCGATTTCACACGAATGTTTCAACTGCGAACTGGTTGAACATTTGAGGCACATTTCTGCTCATTGAACCCCAAATTGGAGCACTTTGGTGGCGGTTTGAACGTTCCACTGTGATCAAGATGGAAACTAGGTCACGGAGTTCACTCTGAATGGGTTAATTTTTCTCTTAACGACTCGCCTCGTTGCTTCTCATCTAAATGTTCTTTCCTTTTCTTTATGCCCCACCCGAGAAAATGAGTAAAACTCCTTGCCGACACACCCTGCCTGTCTGCCAAGTGGTTGCCAACACATCATGTGCGTGCGTGTGTGCACGCACACACGCACACACACACACACACACACACACACACACACACACACACACACACACACACACTTCATAATAAGCAGGCCGGTACAGTGCATTCATACAGAGCGATATGTTCTCAGGCACCGCATGAGCTCAAGCTTTGCCACTTCGATGGACACGCGGCCGTGCAATTACTCTCTGTCACCGCCCACACACACTAAATACGTGTGGGCCTGTGCTGTTTTAATGTGATCATTGCCAATAAGCTCTGAGACTGCAGAAGACCACAATCTCACTACAGCCACTCTATGACATCACTTGTGAATTAAGAGTCCCCCCCCCACCACACTCCCAACCACGGAAAAGTGGAACTTGACGGGCCGGTTACCATGGGAACTGTCAAAGTTTGCCTTCACGTCGTCACTAAGGCGACTGTGTGGCATTGTCCACTTGGTGATTATGTTGTTCTTAATCCCAAGTTAAACTGATGAAAGGAAGCAAATGTTGCTCTTTGGAAAAGGAACCGTATTTGGTTACTCACACAAATGTTAATATTAAAAAGGTATACATAAAATGTATGGATATGTTTATGTGAGTGCACACAAGTAATTCAGCACTTTCGCAAAAGTATTTGAATTCAAATAAAATGCTAATAAAGATGTGATAAGAAAATAATCCACCAAAATGTTATATATATAATCAAGCTAACTGATTTAAGTGGGAGTGGCAGAAAAGAGGAAGGGTGAAATGATTGACAGGAGGGTAAAAGGAGGCAAGTGTTATGTGGACGTGTTCCACCTTACCCGCAGCAGCGACTGGGACTCCTCTTTAGCAGCTCCTCCTTTCACTTCATGAACTCCTCCACTCCCTCCTCCGCTTGTGTATTGCTGGGATGTCATCTGGCTCATTTTCTCCCCTCCGCTGGGTGCGGCACCTCCACCCGGCCGCCCGCCGCCACCGTACAGCTTAGCGTCTCCCAAAAACGACTTGGTATCTCCAAGGTAGACCATGCTGGGCGAGGCCACGCCACTGGCCCGCTTCTGCTGCGAGGACTCATGGTTGGCGGAAACAAACGCCACGGACAGCGGTGAGGGGAACAGGGAGGGGTCGGGTCCCATGCGCTCCTTGGGCACCCACAGAAGACCGTGGGCCTGCTCGCCGCCTCTCGTCTCGCCGAGGACCCAGCCTTTCTCGCGCTCCCTCTCTTTCTCCTCGCCGCCCTCGCTCTTGACGATCTCCTCACGGCCCCCTTCGGCCAGGCGTCCCTCGGGTGGCGCCAGCGAGTAGAGGAGCCGAAGATCCCCCTTACTCTCCTCCTTGATGGCCAAGGTAGAGGGCGCCGAGCAGCCGTTGGCCGACGGCGTCAGGGACGGTGTCAGCGCGGTTACCGACAGCGAGGCGTCGTGACAGTGGGCCGAGTTGAAATGGTCAAGGAGCGCCGACGAATCGGCCGCCGTGAAGTCGCAGTGGCGACAGCGACAGCACGCGTGGACACGCCTGCACAGAAACAACAGAGAAAACAATATTTGAATAAAAAATGTCACTCTGGGCAGCACTTGGGTAAAATACTGATAATTCATAAATAAAGAGTCGTCAAGCTGTTCAATACCAATCCCAGTTAAGTTCACTGTCAAACTAAACATAAAACAAAGCGATAACAGTTGTATTTACAAACAACATTGCCTCCAGAATGTCCCACTCGCCTAATGCTGACGTATAATGGAAAACACCACTGACATGCTAGGAGTTAGCATTGAAGTTGTGGTTTTAGGAACCTTGGGTATTTGAACACAATGTTCAATTTCTTGACTTATTCAAAGCTCTTCAAACACATCCGACACGACGACATGAGCCGACCTGTAGTGTCTGAAGATCTCCTCCTCCACTTCGGTGATGAAGTGACACTTTGTGCAAGAGTACTCCTGGCCTGCCTCCTTGTCCGGCCCGCTACCGCCCCCATCTTGTTCCTCGGCCTTAACGTGCGCCGGGGCCCCCTTCAGGTTGATCAGGCTGTGGCAGCCATCGTAGTGCTGCAGCAGCACGTCGATGTCGGCGGTGGCGAAGGCGCACTGGTCGCACAGGTGGGTGACGCCTGAGGAGGCACGATAACACTTCTTTGATTTCTCGCTACATCGGATGCCGCTGATCATTTTTGCAGCTGTTCACATTTACATCGAATAAAAGACGCCGTAGCATATTTATGCATTCTTATTCATGCCGATAGTATTCCTGGTGTAATTTTCAGCTTTCGATCAGCACATGTATCATTTTCTGCTATATAGTAGTGTATATATACAGTAGTTCCACTGTTGGTGATGAATTAATGATCCAACTTATTATCTATAAACTATCGAGACACAAATCTCTGTTCTTAACTTGTCCTATTCCATTCTGTGTAATTGGATTTTACTCTAAGCCCTTCCTGGTGATCCAAATGAATTACCTTGTGAGGCAACGGGGTGTGAGGGATGAACAGTAGAAGCTGACGTCACACTTGGGTCACTTCTGGGATGAGGAGGAGGCGTGGAGCCGCCCGTGTCGTGCAGTTTGGTGGACGCAGGGAATTTGGCGCAACATTTTGGACAGGTGGGTTTCCGGCATGCAAAGGGGTGGGACACCTATTCAGGGAGGGGAAAAAATAAACCAAGGATGATGCAAGCTCCATTAAGTATTTAAAACCCCTGCTGGGTTATGTTTTTCATCTCGGCAGGGAAAATCAAAGACCTCGCAGGGATATGTGCATCATGATCCTAATGATACCATACACAACATTGCTGCTTGGACACAAAGAAAGATGGAGGCGTCCGTTTAACTTCATGAAGTAAACTGGTGGTTCTCAAACTTTTCTGGTACAGGGACCCCTAACAAGTTGAAATTTTCATTGCTGAGGTCCCCCTCATAATCCTAAAGCCGATTAAAAATGGTTACCGAGTGCAACCATAATGCCATGGGGATTATTTTTGGAACATTTTATCCTCGATATTGATGATGTGTTGAGTCGGCACTTCACCAAATTGTGTTTTTAGTATGTCGGCCCCCATATGTAGATAGGCCCTTTTTCTAAAGTTGCAAATTATTTGGCAGACCCCCGCCGTTACCCCTCACGGACCTCCTCCCCCAGTTTGAGAACCAATGAAATCCAAGACTCACCTCCCCCAGGTGCTTGCGCGGCTGACAGAGGCCCTGCGGACAGTACATGCAGTGCTGGATGCAGCATCGGTGGATGGAGTGGTTGTGCTGGTAATGCAGCAGCAAGGGAGCAACCACGATCACGTCTCCGGCGTGCGCCATGGAGTAGCGGAAGTCGCACAGCTGGCAGTTGTAGCTGGTGACCACGGCATCGGCGTCGCCGCTGTTCGGGTCTCCTGGGAATCAGGACAGATGCGGCGTTAGGCGAAAAGGTCATCGAGTTGGCAGGACGAGAACACTGGGATGTTTTTAAGGGCACGATGCTGACGGCAGAACACCAAGACAGAAGGGTCACAAAATAATCCCTCGGGGTAGATATTCCGCCAGACCGTGATTAGATTCAAGTACGATTCGGGGATCGACGGGACAATTTGAGAATATTGATTCCCTTTGAGTTGATGCAGGAACTTTGTTGACTTCAATCAAACCCCATTCTGAACGGCCGGGCAGTTCATTAGGTTTCATGTCACTTAAATTACCTTGGTGGGGACCGGATGACAAATCCTTGCGACTTTTGGACAAAATGTGGTCTCTTTCGCCTTCCCTTCTGGAGTCGTTAGGGCTTGCCATGTTCATCTTGTGCCGCTGCTCGTAGTGTTCTAAAAGCTTGGCTGAGCCTCCAGACCACTCGCAGCTCCAGCTGCAGAACTTGCACCAGTAGTACGCCCGCGCCCCCTCCGCCGGCCAGCCGAACGAATCCGGCCGGATGGGGATGGAATACCCTACCAGGGAGTCGTCCTCTGCTCTGACCGCCACTCGCTCCGCCCCATCCAGTATCGGACTCCTCCCTTTGCTCTGGCTGTCGTTGTTCGAGAGGGGCGTGGCTGGCGGCGTCTTGGCTTTGTTGGGATGAGAGGACAGGAAGTGCTGCTCCAGTTCCAATGAATTGCTGCCCATGTAGGTGAAGTTGCAGAATTTGCAGCGGAAGTACTTCGTGTTGCCCTGGCAATCGGAGGTCTTGCGGCCGATTCCGATATGCGTGCCACCCAACGTCACCTGTTGAATGCAAATATTTCTTTCAGTCCGTAGTAGAAATGAAACTAATTTGCGAGACAATTAACGTTGGGGAAACCCTGGTCTAACATGTTCAGCACTGTCCAATCGATTCAACGGAGCACGACCGGCAAAGTGTCGGACCCGTGCTGCAATGGGGCAATCTGTGTTTCAAGTGTGCGGCTTTTGATGGGGAAAGAAACGCTCTCCAATTAAGTTCTGGTCGTTCGTGTTGCCCTGGCAATCGGAGGTCTTGCGGCCGATTCCGATAAGCGTGCCACCCAACGTCACCTGTTGAATGCAAATATTTCTTTCAGTCCATAGTAGAAATGAAACTAATTTGCGAGACAATTAACGTTGGGGAAACCCTGGTCTAACATGTTCAGCACTGTCCAATCGATTTAACGGAGCACGACCGTCAAAGTGTCGGACCCGTGCTGCAATGGGGAAATCTGTGTTTCAAGGGTGCAGCTTTTCATGGGGAAAGAAACGCTCTCCAATTAAATTCTGGTCGTCAACAACAACAGTTGAATTTCCAGTTCTTGGCCTCTTTTGTTCCACCCCGCCATCATATGGATTCCCACTTCATCCCGGTGAATCGGAATGACAGAGATTTGATGTGGCAGCTCGACTGAGGATGCGTGTCATGATCCAAACACAATCGGTGTTTCTTGCTAGATCGGGAGCGCAGGGGCTTACAATGACATTACTACCGTACGACGTGGATTTATCTGCGAGCAGATCTGCGGTCTCATGTGGACGGTAGGCGGTCCGGCGGCGGCAGTTTGTCAATGCAAAAGAAATCCTTTTGGAAAATCCAGATGTGGCTGCTAGAATTTTGAATTTAAAACCAGAAACATGACATCATGTGTTCGTGCATGGCCATCGGCCAGGAGGAATGACTTTCTTTGATGTTTGTGAACAAAACGTCTTTAGTTACGCAGCAAAATTGGGCTCGGCATTAGCGGTGGAATGACGGTAAACAGGAACGACAAACAAGCAAGTGTCTCAGGGGCTCTCTTTTTCGAACAGGGGCACGATACCGAGTGAGCTCTATGTCGGCGCAGTTGAGGACCGTTAAAATATATATGATACCTGTAATTTGTATGAGCCCTGTAACTTGGCCCCAATGTCTGCTTCAAACCAAAATGGCATACTTCCTCATTTCATTTCAGACGGGGAGCCTGAGAAAAATTGTTGCATTAATCGATAAAAGGTGGCAAACTTTTCATGGGTCGATATTGAGCGGGTCCTCTGTGGGAACTATAAAATATTTGTCTCAGGATGGCCAAAATTGGTGTGTATTCACACATGTTGAAGGCTTCCCCACCCCCAAAAGGCGATTTATTCAACAGAAGATTTGGAAGAGTGCGAGCTGTTTTTGGACTTCTTGAGGCAGCAAACAACGTGATCAATTAATGCCACCCAAATACAAATCTTTGTCGAGAGGGATAACGTTGCAAGTCGCAGGGCGGGACAAGGTGAGTGGGGGGAAAAAAAACTACAGATGGATGAAATGAAAATTGAAAAGTTTGGCAGCAGATTTTAAAAAAAAAAAAAAAAGCAAAAGCTGAGCTCCGTTGCATGTGTGACAGCTGCAGTGTTGCGAAGTAACCCTTCATCTTGACATTTTTTCCCCCTATCGCTATCATCCCCCCACCTCGCTAAAATTGCACTGGCTCACCGGGAATCCCATCTTAGCAAATGACAGCATGGAACTTTCCAAACGCATGCGGGAAAGAGAGTGAGAAAGAAAGAACGAGGGAATAAGAGAATAGAGACTCCTTTCATTGGCTTTTTTTCCTCATCTGGCGAAATCCTCGAAGGCAAAACTCGACCGTTCAGGTACGCTCAACGCTCGCTCTCCTTGACCCTCGATGTTATGACGAGAGATAACTTTAACGTTAAGATATAAAACTTAGAAATACATGCAATTAGGGCAGGGGGATAAATTCAGTATCACTATGAATTGGGATGGACGTGATCGATGTCAATCTAAAATGTTTGGTAGAATGTTCAATAAAAAGAAAAAAAAATCATGAAGAAAACACCGAGTGGAGGATGGACGTGATCGATGTCAATCTAAAATGTTTGGCAGACTGTTCAATAAAAAGAAAAAAAAAATCATGAAGAAAACACAGAGTGGGCGGAAGGATATTTGATTTGCAGAAGTTAGCGATTGCTTATTCCAATTCATCCCAAATTCGGGTTCCGATGCCGCTGTAGGAAGTCGCAAGTCAAGGTAACGCTGTATATTCCAATCGCATCAGTGTTGCTCCTCACCTGAATGTCATAAGTGCCGTTCATCATCACTGTCCTTTGTTGCTGATGGTGGAGCTCCGGCCTGCTCATGCCAGACTCTTTGGTTTGGTTCCTATGCCCTTCTCCTACCTGCATGACTGAGAGCACACACAAGGGTGGACGGACGAGTCAGAACTGCAAAGGTTGTGGGACTCGGATGGCCAGGAGCAAAAAATAAATAAAAATAAAACAATGCCATAGATTAGATTAATGTTGCTTCACATTAAATGTCATGCCTTTAAATACCACACTTCAAGATGTAGTTTTTTTGTTTTTACAAGCAACCTGACATTGAAATGCAACCGTTCTACAACCATCAAAATACATCAAAGGTTGCACGTTCCAATTACACACAAAAAGAGAAGAGATGAATAGAACAAAATATAACTTCACAATCACACCAAAATGTACAATTAAGGATAAAGAAATGGACCCGTGATTTTGTTAGCCTCTCGCGTATCAAGAGGCTCAATGTGGCTGGAGCGCCACGTGAAGCGCACAAGAAAATGGCGGGGCCGACAGCCGAGAGTCACTGCCCGTGGCCATTTGTGTGAAAAAAACGATTGTATCCGACAAAATGGCGGTGTGAGGGGGGCTTCATGTCAGGTTCATGGTGAGTGAGCTACATTGAGTATAATTTTCCACCAAATTCTCATCAGATCATAAGAGTCTTGACCCAAAAAAATAAATAAATACAAAGTCGCAGTGAACAGTCGCTCTGAAACATCCTCGATGCAATTTCATAGGATTTCGTGGAAAATCAAAACATATTTGAAAAAAAAAAGGTCACTTTTCAGCAATACGCATTCTCATTATCTGGTGCAACGTTTGCCACGTCTGGGGCGGGTGAACATTTTCTTTTTTTTGAGAGTTTCCAACTCTAGGGCCGATGAGATAAGACCACATAGAAATTTTGCCCTGAACGCTTGGGAAATTGTGCGAGGGATGGGCAGGTGTGTGAACACGTTCCTGTGAGTTCTGCCTGCCTGAAAGTCACAGGCGAAGAAATGAAGGCACAGCTGTGATGCCTCTGATGTGGCGGAGAGGCAGGCGTGAAGAAGCTGTTCACAGCCTTTTTTTTTTTTTTTTTTGCTTTTCAATGAACTGCCCTTTGACAAACCCCACAGACACACTGTTTTACTTGCTACTTTGTGCCTTTTACGAGCCCTTCACACAAAGAGGGTGCAAAACAAGCCAAGCTAGGAGTTACCTAGAGGTGTGTGGGGGGGCGCCATGTTGTGAAGAGCCAGGATGTGTGTGTCGAGGGCAGCGTCCTGCCGTGTGCGGTTGTGCAGGCCGAGGTGATACTTCCTAAAGTGCTTCACCAGGTCGGTGGGGTCGTTGCCGTAGTAACCGTAACCGCACACGTTGCACTTGAAGTCCTGCAGCTTGGGGGAGGGGCTGGAGGAGAGCGGCGGCGTGTCCGGGGCCGACTCCGCCCTGCCGTCCGAACCGCGGGGCTCGCCTTTGGCCACTTTGTCTTCGGGGTCCGACACGGCCGGTTTGAGTCCTCCTTGCGAAGGCCGACCTCCACCTCCGCCTCCTCCTCCCCTCCTCCCACCTCGCTCCTCGTTGCCAACGGATGAGGGCGAGAGAGACGAGGAAATGCACTCACTTTCTCCTTCCTCCTCTTCCTCCTCGTCGGGCTCCTCATCACCCCGGAGTCGCTCCTCGGGCTCGGAGGGGCGGCTTATTCGGTCGGCCTCGGCTCCCACGCGCCCCTCGTCTTCCTCGCCGTCCTCCTCCTCCTCGCCCGCCGGCCTCCTCCCCTCTTCCTCCTCCTCCTCCTCCTCACCTCCCACACTGCGGATAGGGGGATTCTTCTTCCTCACCATCGCTAAGAAGATGGAGAAAGCGCGCTGTGTTACTTGTAGTCGTGGACGACATGGACACAAAGGGTGGGGAAGACCCAAGAAACGTACTTCGAAATCAAGATATCTCTCGAACAGAAGTCACTTCAAATACGATATCAAAGTGGTATTTTCAAAAATCAGCAATTGCATGATGATCAAGTCACAGTCGAAGAAAATCATCCAATATACATCAAGATACCTACCGAACGCTTGGTCCTACGACATCAGAGTGACATTTGGCCAATTATATCAATGATATAATTGGCCAAATGTCATAATATATATTTTTGCAACGAAGTAAAAACAGCGCTCTGCCTTGCACTTAGTTGTATCCTAAGCTAATTTGTCTGCAGGTTACAACAGAAACAACACAGAGAGGCATAGTGAGTGCCTAAGAATGGACTGCAGGTCAAATTATTTCTCACTTGCAATACGCTTGTTTTGCAAAATGGCTGAATGAAATCAGAAAGAGAGCTGCGGACAAAAAAAGACTGTGCTCTTGAGAGAACAGTTTTCCTTCTCTTTCTTTGCCATGCAACTATTAAAATAAAGTAATTCATGTCTGCCAGGGCCCACGCCTCAACCAACCCTGGCACAAACTCACTGCGCGCGTGTGCGTGTGTGTCTGTCTGTCCAAGATAGAGTGCGGGGAGCAGAGGAAAATCTCATCTGATGCTCACCACACCCAAGTCAGAATTCATCATGCACACACACACACACACACAAAGTGGAAAACGACATCGTTGTGGTGAAGCGATGACGCAAAAAGTCCCGACTCAAAGGACCTCGCGAGTGGCCAAACTGTGTTTCCATCTGCCAGGCGACAGACGTCCGTTCATATGAGGGCGCTAAAATTGCGAATGTCATCCGAACTCATTTGTCGCCGTGGCATGCCAATTACAGGAAGCTGCATTTATGCCCAAGTATAGCCCCATATGTACATTGAGGTATATTCCATACCCCGAGTCCTCATTAAGCGATCCCAGATCGCTTTTGGCAAGAGGCAGACTACCCTGGGGACAGTTTGCCGTTCAATCGCAAATACAAACAACCATTCACATCTCTGAACAATTTGCTCTTCAGATAACATGACAAGCATGTTTTTTGGAATGCGGGAAGCAAGCCGCTGGATGGGGAGAAAAGCCCAGGCAAGCGAGCCAAGATTTAAATCCAGAACCTCGAAACTAAGAGGCAGACTAACCACTGCTTCGCCATGATGCTGCGTTATAAATCACTCTGACTGACTGTAGAGATACAATTCTGGAGTATACAAACTATATTTATTGCTGATTTTCACACACTGAACTGGAAGGACGAGCCTGTTTAAATTCATGCTGATACAAAACTTAAAAAAAAAAAAACAGTTGAAAGAAGGGATCCACAAACAACTGAAAATGGAAAAATAAAGTCCGAAATACAGTAAATATTAGAGATAGGGAAAACTACAATTACAAATCAAACTAACATTCAACAGATTTAACACTCCTGCTATGTAAATTTGGAGATGAAGCACTTCGGAATCATTTTTCTATGCTTGTGGAAGAAGGTATGCTGTTGTCTGACATTAAGACAAAGTGCCCCAAAAAAAAAAATTCTGTTTCTCTTTTATCCTACTGTGTCCCCGTTTGGTCAATCCATTTAACGTATCGTGTATAGGGAGGCGTTGAAAAATCCTCAAAAGAAATCCATCAATAAAACCTAAATGGCAAACGAAAAATGTGATTGTAGCTCTGCGTCCTTACAAAAGGACGTGCGGGGTCCGAATTGGAGCTGGATTGCGCCGATTTAGCAGCGCCGCTCCACAGCCACCGCGTGCTCGAGGCTGTATGCACAGGCTGGAACCATTACTATCAAGTACAATTAGGTGCAAGCCGCCACAACATACTGACTTCACTGCATATCAGCAACTGCTACTCGCTACAATTACCCCACCCCACCTCCGAGAAAAACAACGCTAAGCGGCCCCCGCGATATGACAGGTAGGATGAATGTGACGCTTAATCGTTTCCATCATCGTGAATTAGCCGGGGACTATTATCGAAAATTGATGATAATGACCCGGAGACGGCCGCTCAGGGATACACTGACATGAGTGTTACAACTTCCCAAATTGATGACAAAGGAACCAAACTGAAGAAAAATGTGACGACTTGGCGTATCGGATTGATAAGACGTTATTAAAATAATAATAATAATAATAAAAATATGCCACTATGAAGTAAAATGTAGGATGCAGAAAATTCAAGAATGAAAAACAAAATGCTTTTTCTTTTTTTTCCTTTTAATTTAAATCTTGTGAGGTTCTGAACGTGACAGTAACCAGACTAATTTTGGTGTCCTGTGTCATCAGTCCGGTTCTGTTGCTATCGAACCAATGAACGTGATGCAATTTTCCACAATATCGGTCGGCTACCCGCCTGTCCAATAGTTATCGTGCGTCCCAATTGAAAACTCATCTCGCGTTACGCTTACAATAAATGATATGGGACTCCTTTACCGCTAACAACCCAGGCTAAACTGAACTCCTCCTCAAAACATAAGGCGCGGTCGAGACAACTTCGTCGACACAATGCACTGCTTCCCTGTTTAAAAGGGCTCTGGCGCCATGTTGTGGCATCTTGGGGAATTTTACAAAGAGGAATAAGTAATGCGACTTTTTCAGCAAGTATCTGGGGATATGTTTCCCCTGCAAAACACATACAAGGTTGTAATATGCTCCTTAACCCTTTCATGTAACCTGTAACCCCATAACACGGTAAAGTGTCCACTGTCGAAACCGCTGACCCTGAAAGGGTTAAATATAGAAATTGACGGTGAGTGTAAATATTTCTCTTCGCCCTTCTATCTCCAATTTACCATTGCCTTTCACATAGATACGACTTCAGCTCAGGGTGTTTTACATCAAATGAGTGACAATTCTAACGCATGTCAAAGAGCAATAACTGCTTTCAACCCAACAAGGCGGGCATATCAGGTGTTAAACTTGACACTGATGTTTCGAGATCACAGAATACCCTTCCGGACAGGCGTCATCTTGCTTCTGGTCCTAGCTTGGGCAGAGTGTTAACTAGGTTTTCCCGGGGGGGGAAAAAAAAAAACAGCGTTACTCAAAAAGTACAAAGCGGTTATATAGACGTCATTGTCACACGTGATTACGTGACGCCCCAGTGATGGGACTTCATGGCATCGTTGCCTTGTCACTTCAAGTTAGCCCTCTTTGAAGTAAAAAGTTAATAAAAGTGCAGTATATGAACGCATATGCTTTCATGCCCAGACAGACAAAACATATGCGTGCCTGAAACCAAGCCAAGCCGTAATGGGAATCAGGCACAAGCGACGGTTACTGGAGGAGTAGATGGGAGGGGCAGAGTGGGGGGGGGGGGGGGGGGGGGGGGGGGGTTACATTTTAAGCACTGATCGAGCGTTGGCCAAGTGTGGGTGTGACTTATGGATTATCAATGATCAACTGTGGAGTTTTAATTGATGAGGCTGTGGAGGGACAGCAGCTGCATTTTGAAGCTACGACCTCAATGGATCTCAAACTCCTCTGCAACTACAACTCGCTGCCAAACAGATTCCAAGTAAATAATGCCAGAGGAGTCATTACCTCTGCACCGCTGCAAAGAGTTACTTTGCTTTTTTTCCTGGGCATTTGAAACTCAAAGAGCTTTCGCTGAGACTCTTGAGAGGTGTGTTACGAAACTGAAGAAGTTACAAAAGTTGGAGTGTAGTTGCACTGTGGAAGGAAGACCTTATTGCATGAAAACATGAATTCAACAACAAATCCGCCAAATAAATCAAGTCAACGTTATCAACCAAGCCAACAAATCCAAACGGTCAACTTACCTAACCAGTCCAACCAATAAAAAAGGCCCTGTCGACCCAAACAATCAAACCAAACCATCCCAATCAAATGAAACAAATCAATCGGTCAACCAAACTAAGATATACTTTATCAAACATTCGCAAACATTTTCAAGTGCGAGGTGAATAAACGTGTCCGACTTTCAAAGCGTTGGCATTTCCGTCGCCCACATAATCACATGACAAGCGAAGATGCTAACTTTACAAGCGAAGATGCTAACTTTATCTTCGACTCAAAAGCTGTGCTGAACTCAAATATAAAGAGAGATGCAATGATGTCATCTGCAGGTATCAAGTAGTCATTACAGCGGTTTACAAACCTGAATTTCACAGGGTGAGGCCTTCTTCGTATCGGTGAAAAAAATATATACTTGGCGACTGGTGAAAAAAATGTATACTTGGCGGCAGTAAACGGTTGAGTTCCAATTGACGACTGTAGACGCCCACGACAGTGAATGAGTTAACCAACCAATCTCTTACAAAAACAACTAACTTCTTGTATCGCACAATTGGACGCCTCCACCAAACATGCAAGTCCCATCCAGCGGCATTCGGTTAGCTGAGTCAATAAATCAAGTGTCACCATAGACGTCAAAACAAATAAGCTAATTCCAAGACCTTTCAAATCAAACAACTACGAAATTGCTCTCTTCCCAGTCACACTTCTTTTGTGGATGCGCCCGCTCTTTATCATACCATCTTTCATCCATCACTCTAAATTAATCCGACACACACACATACGCGCGCAGTTCTGTCAATTTTACCTCGCTCTGTTCTCCCGTCTTATCCTGACGCAAAGCTCGGCGTGTGTAATTAACACCTTGTTCCGGTAAGACTGCTGTTATGGGGTCACACCGGTTGGCCTTTAATCAAGTCCGACTATTATTAATTATCCCTAAAGCGCTTTGCTAGTTGGTGTGATTACAAGGTTCTCCTGAGCTGAGCGCATTGAACATTGATCCAATTATGTACACATAGGAAGGCCACCGGACCGATATGCGCTGAAATCAGCATCGATACACAAACTTGGCTGTGTTCAAGTCTTCTGTTCCAGCTCTGAAGCGGCCATTTTGAGAGATCTCCGTGCAAAACCATCTTCGCAATTTCAATACGACTCCCA